ATGAGAGTACGACTAGCCATATATGCAACTTTTGGTTGCCTATTTAAGTAGTCTGCCCTAGGTTCCACACTAGCTGCATACCTGCACCCAACTATAGGGGATACCTATTTAAATCCTCTGGCTCCATTTCTGTAATATCGCTTTACCCTAACACTCTTAAGAGATTAGCAATACCAAATAAGAACCCTAAGACTTTAGCTATATACAGGCATTTATCCTTGTAGTAAACCTAACAGAGTAGTACATGTCCCACACATGCACTCACTTACATGTTTGGTAACTTTTTCCCAACTAGTACATGTTGTGCTGCTGCTACCGGGTCTGTATCTCAAGCTATCTTTTCGGATACTGCCGTAACCTGATTATCAACACCATATTACTATTGGCAAAAGCAAAAAAATACACATTTCAATGCAATATCAAGAATGATAGTAGCAATTGCCAACTGAAAGAATATTGTACTAATAATAAATATTACAAAAGAAAAACCAACAATACCTATTCCTACTTTTTCTTGGCAGATATCAGCACAACCTCAACAGATACTAGCTAATTAATACATACCCAACTTCAACTCAGTACCAATAGTATGCTTGCTAAAATAGCTATTAAAAAACACAAACAATATTATTGCAAGATATAACTGGAGTAACCAAAAATGTTTTAGAATATTAAAAATGACTATGGACACCATTAATTGGGAATTAACTTTCAAGTATCTAACCCTTAATAATCCTTCAAAAACAAGATCAACTAATATAGAAATGGCAAAAATACAAAGCTTCAAGATCAAGATATTGAATTATAACATACCTATGTGGCTACAGCTTTATAAACGCAACTCCAAACAATATCTCAATCCCTTTTGTGCCAAATGCCCAAACACACTTGCTTACGTGTCTATATCTATCTTATAACTTAAAAGACACAATCATGAATGAATATCAAAAAGTTCTAAATAAGAAACAAATACAAGGAGAGAATATATATCAATTTTATGTAAACTTCTACAATATATATATAAGAAAAAAAGTGAGATTAGGACTAATCACTGAGAACACTCTAGCACCTGTACCTGATACAAATCTAAAAAAACAAATCACACCTCTAATATATCACCGTATAATTGCTGAAATTTATAAAAAGATCTGGGTTGAGACAAGAAGTAATAAACAAATACCAATGATAAAAATATATCCAAGTATTATAATCGAAGATAATATTAATTATTCACCGGTTGATGAAGAAAAAATACAATGCTTCTATAAATATTACATTAAATTTAATAGTACAGCCCCTTTCGCTTATTTCACAATCTAGAGGTCTTGCGACCATCCTAGTAAAGGCTTGGTTGAGGATAAAAATATCCTAACCACTACTTCATAATATAAAATTATATTTGTAACTCAGTTATAAACTCTAATTTTAATAAAAAAAAAACTAGAGGAAAGACCTCCCTTGATAAAATAAAAAATAAAAAAAATAAAAAATAAAAAAAGCAAAACTTTAAATTTGAACTGTATTAGTCTTCAAAAATGGATTATTCTGGAATGAGTAAAAAATTCTGGGTCGAAACAAATTTGCTTAACGTCGGCCTAGCTCTGATGAATTCCGGCCCAGAACTTTTAACTAGCATTATCACGATTACAACTTTATCGTTATAACCTGTCCGTTATTAAAAAAAAAAAAAAATTATTACGATCGTGATAATGTCTGAAATCGCAGATAAAAATAAAAAACGAAACGCTGAAAATTACGAAGAATCCATTGATAAACGATCAAGTGAATCTGGTTTACTAAAAAATAACCAAGAACACTTAAGCAAACGCCAAAGAGTTGAGGGAATAGATAATAATCCTTATCTTGCTCACCGCCAACTTACCAAAAGTCCTCTTGATGGATGGTTTCCAGGAAGAACTACCGCTGAACAAGCTCGAATAGCCGAAGATGGTGATATAAATCCCTTCACAAATAAACCATTTAGTAAGCGATATCGTGAACTTTTAAAAGCTCGCCGAACCTTACCAGTACACGCTCAACGAAAGGAATTTCTTGATCTGGTTCATGAGAACCAATTTGTTGTATTTGTCGGTGAAACTGGCTCTGGGAAAACGACACAGTTAGTAATTTATGTTTGATTACATTAAAATGCTATTATTGTTGCTAAGTTGCGAATTCGTTTTCTTGTTAGAATTCCGCAATTTTTATGCTATGATATACTTCCACATTTGAAAAAAAAACAAATTGCATGCACACAGCCACGTCGAGTCGCTGCTATGTCTGTAGCTCAACGTGTAGCTGATGAAATGGATTTTAAACTTGGTGAAGAGGTCGGATACAATATCCGTTTTGAAGATTGTTCGGGACCAAAGACTATGCTTAAGTATCTAACAGATGGTATGCTTTTACGTGAAGCAATGAATGATCCAAATTTAGAAAAATATTCTGCTATTATTCTCGATGAGGCACACGAACGCACATTAGCAACTGATATTCTTATGGGTTTAATGAAGCAAGTATGTAACATGATAAAGTTTATAAGTCTTCATAAATAATTTAATATTAAGCAATTTGAATTTATTCTTAGATTGCCAAAGCACGAAAAGATCTTAAGGTTATTGTAATGAGTGCTACTCTCGATGCAGAGAAATTTCAAAGATATTTTAATGACGCACCAGTCCTTGTACGTGTCATTTTATTTTAATATATAAAAAAATTATTAATGATCTTTCATATATTTCTATAATTTGTTGATCCGAGATAATTTAAATGTGTCTAATTTGAATTTTTATTTTTTTTCTTTCTAAATAGACCGTTCCTGGCAGGACCTTTCCAGTAGAGATTTATTATACACCTGAAGCTGAACGTGATTACCTTGAAGCAGCTATTCGTACAGTTATGCAAATCCATGAATATGAACCACCCGGTGACATTTTGTTGTTTTTAACTGGTGAAGAAGAAATTGAAAATGCATGCTTAAAGATTCGCACAGAAAATGAAGATTTGATGAAACGATCTGATATAGGAACACTAAAAGTTCTTCCATTATATTCTTCATTGCCGCCTCAACAACAACAACGTATTTTCGAAGATGCACCACCTCCTCGCGTTAAAGACGGAAAACCCGGTCGTAAGGTTATTGTATCAACCAATATTGCCGAGACATCCTTGACTATTGATGGTATTGTCTATGTTGTTGATCCTGGTTTCAGCAAACAAAAAGTTTATAACCCTCGAATCCGTGTCGAATCGTTGCTTGTAAGCCCTATTAGTAAAGCATCCGCTCAACAAAGGGCTGGTCGTGCTGGTCGTACGCGTGCAGGAAAATGTTTCCGTCTTTATACTGAAAAAGCATTTCTTAAAGAATTACAAGAACAAACATATCCTGAAATTTTAAGGAGTAATTTGGGTAGTGTTGTTCTTCAATTAAAGAAATTAGGCATAGATGATCTTGTGCATTTTGATTTTATGGATCCTCCAGGTAAATAAATAATTTGATATTAATATCATATCATATTATTTTGTCTTTTTAAAACAAATCCTTATCCATATTTTGTTTATCTTATGAAAAATAATTTAGCCCCTGAAACACTGATGCGTGCCCTTGAGCTTCTAAATTATCTTGGGGCTCTTGATGATGATGGTAATCTTACTGGTGATGGAATTTTAATGGCAGAGTTTCCACTTGATCCTCAACTGGCAAAAATGTTGATAGAGAGTCCCAAGTATAGATGCTCTAATGAAATCCTTTCAATCGCTGCATTATTATCAGGTATTTATTTCATATAATCAGATAGATCTTTTTATTTTGAGAATTTATATTTTAACCTGCTAACATATAAAAACTTATTAAAGTGCCAAATATTTTCGTTCGGCCTAATGAATCGAAAAAACAAGCGGAAGATGCAAAAGGAAAATTTGCTCATACTGATGGAGATCACTTAACTTTGTTGAATGTTTATCATGCTTATAAAACTAGTAAGTCATCCAAAAATGTGAAATTATGGATCAATTTATTTTAATCGATTAAGGCATAATTATCTCTTTTCTTTTTTCTTTAATAGATATAAATGATCCGGAATGGTGTTATAATAACTATCTCAGTGCTCGGTCTTTAAAATCGGCTGACAATGTCCGTCAGCAACTCAAACGTATTATGGAGCGTTGTGATCAAGATTTGATCAGCACATCATTTGAAGACAAAAATTACTATACGAACATTAGGAAAGCTTTGACAGCAGGATTTTTCATGCAAGTAGCACATTTGGAAAAATCGGGCCATTATCTGACATGCAAAGATAATCAAGTATGTCAAAATCTTAATTTTTTTTTAAAAAAAATTCTAGTTATTTAAATTTAAATTGTCAATAAATTAATTTAATTATATTTATAATATTAAAACCATCAGATTGTTCAACTTCACCCATCTTCGTCTCTCGGACATCAACCTGAATGGGTCTTGTATAATGAATTTGTTCTTACGACCAAAAATTATATCCGTACTGTAACTGAAGTAAAAGCTGATTGGTAAATAATGTTTATAGGCTTTTGTTTTTAGTATTAACAATAATTGAACCTTATTAAATCGCAGACATTTTATTATAGGCTTTTGGATATTGCACCAGTTTATTATGACCTTCGAAATTTCCCTAATTGTGAGGGAAAGAGAGTTTTAGAAAAACATTTGGCTAGAAGGGCTAGAAGTAAGAAGTAAAACTGCAAGGTAATCCGTTTAAAAATAATAAACGGAGTTTATTTATTTATTTAACAAGATGCAATGATGTTTCATTTTTACATTTTTTTGTTGCGATACTAATAATGCTTCCTGTCCAATGAACTATTGTTAATGAAAATGATACACACATATTTAGCACAAGAGTGTTTGATAAAATAACCCATGTTTAAATTGATAGAACAAAGCTTAGTTAATAAATTTAGGTTTTTTTCGAAGATATCTAACTTTAGGCTTTTCAATCATTATCACCAAACGGTACACTTCAACTATCAAATACGCATCAAATTTCTTCAAATCGTATTTGAGGTAGGTTGATATTTGAATATTATTTTCACTTACCTTCATATAAACTAAAGGCTGATAAATCACAAAATGCATATATGAGTTATTATTATTCGGGCTTGGGATATTCATTTCTTGATAGACAGTAGTTTTTCTTCATCAATCTTGCATTTATTTCGATTGTATTTGAGTAATTTTTATTTTTATTCTTTTAAAACTTTATTAATAAAACATCAAAAGGATAACACCTTTTAGTTTTGGTATAGAAATATATTGTAATTTGAATATTTTTTTATTCTTGATATACGCATCACTCTGGTTATACCGACATCTGGATATAACGACATCATAGTAAAATCTTTCTATATATATATATATATATTATATATATATAGTATATATATAATTTCTATATATGTATTATGTCATTATTATAAGCTTAAGCTGAATAACTATTACAATACCGATACGTATAAGGAAGGGTTCGGTTTAAAAAACAGTAAATTTTATAACTTTTAAAAATTTATAATTCTGTTTATCGTTATTGACCATATATATGTACATATCGATATGTATATATAGAGGTTTACGTTTTTCTAAATATACAAATTATTCTAAGGATTAATCAAAATAAAAATAAAAATAATGAGTTCACAACATTTTATTCCTCCCATGGTAATGTATCAAGCGTTATGCAAAAATGACAACTAGTTAAGTAAATATTCTTTGCAATCTTCATTTTGTTGATTCACAGAATTATGGCATGATAGAAGAAGACCTATATAGATCAGGTCAACCGAACGAATTAAATTTTCCATTTTTAGAGAAACTTGGGTTAAAAACAGTGGTATGGCTTGCCTCTGAAGAACCAAATCAAAGATTGTAAGCATTTTTAATTTTAGAAATATAAACTTTTAATCGGTAAATTTTTTACTTTTGTAATAAAGTTGATTTTACAAAGTTTAGATTTCATCGATGATCAGGAAATTCAATTTCATAATCTTGGTGTAATTTCTTCAGTAAGCACTTGGGATCCTATTACTGAAGAAGTTGTCTTGGAAGCATTAGAACATATTCTGAATCCGCATAATTATCCAATGATCGTGATGTGTAATTTAGGAAGACATAGAACAGGTACTAACATTATACTATGAAAGTTTTTAACAGATTTAACAGATTAATAAATATAACATTTATATTGTCATGAAAGGTACAATCGTAGGATGTTTGCGTAAACTTCAAAAATGGAATTTAACATCAATATTTGAAGAATATCGTCGTTATGCAGGACCAAAAGTTAGAGTTTTAAATGAACAATTTATCGAGCTATTTGACACCGATTTAGTTAGAGTTCCTGTGAACAGACCCAAATGGTTGTGAGAAAAAAAAAACCTCATTTTTTTCCATATTACAGTCGTATTGTATTATATCGATATAGTATAGTTATTTAATAGTTGGTTCACATGAAAACAAGAAACATTAATTTCGATCATTTCATTTATGTAATTTTTATTTTCTATCATGATCATTAAAATTTAAAATTGGCATCAATTTATTAATGAAAATAAAAAAGTACCAATGATACAAACGAAAACATTTGTTCTTCCAAAACCAGAAGAAAAAAGTCAATATATCAAAGGGTTAGAAAAAAAAGAATTACTGCTTCTGTAGCCCAAGAAACGAACATGAGTGATGATAATATATTTATATAAGGGGAAGAGGGGTTTAAACTAATGACAAAAATTGAAATGTAGGAAGGTCGAAGAGAAGAAAAAAAGGGAATAAAAATAATAGATTTAGTAGAAAAAAACAAAGGGCATTGGACATGGAAGCATATAAAAATATTAATGATAAGAACATGTCAGAAATAAAAAATGATATTCGTAAAACATACCATATATAAATGTTGCACACAAGAAACTTAAAGTACTACTACTACAACAGAAAAAAAAAATATATTTTTATTACACAGAAACTATTAGATGCCTCCTGTGATGTCAAATAATTAAAATTCTTTTTAATATATAATTAAGCGGCAGTTTCTTTCTTCTCATCAGAGGAAGCAGCAGGCGCTTCCGTCTTCTCAGCATCATCACCAGATTGAATATGTTGATCACTCAATGCGACTTTAATGACCAACTCTCTACCTTCGGACGTGACGGTTTTTAACCCTTCTAAGGCTTTCTTTTGTTCTTCTTCGTCAGCAAATGTGACGAATCCAAAACCCTTTGAACGCCCATGACGACGGCGAACAACATGAGCACTAGTAACGTTATAATCTTTAAAAATATCTTTTAAGCCATCATCATTAATGGAGAAGGGTAGATTGGCAACAAATATAATTGTTTTGGACGGTTCACCAGTTTTAGCAGCTCCAGCTGTTTGACTAGAATTAATATTACCGGAACGACGACGAGATTGAATACGACCACCACGACCACGTCCGCGACCACGGCCACGACGGTGAAATCTACCACGACCTTTGTGCTCAATTGTACCATTTGCAGTTGGGCCATCAGAAGGGACAATTGCGGTAGAATCATTGGGATCAGCATTGGGACCATCATCACCGATGCTACGATTGAATCGACGACGACCTTGCTAATATAATAGAATATTATAAAAATATTAATTGTTGAAATTAAAATAAAAATAAAATAAAATAAAAAAAATAAATTAATAAATAAATAAATAAATAAATATATACCCAGCTACCGCGACCTCTGCCCCGACCACGACCCCTTCCACGTCCTCTACCCCTACCACGGACAAATCTCCCGCGTCCACGACGTGGGCCACCACGGTAGGATTGACCAGGATTAGAGGTAGGTGCGGTATTTTCTTTAGGCTTGGCAACTTCTACATTGATTTGACGGCCATCCAATTCTTTCTTATTGAGTTCTTCAACGACTTTGTTCGCGTCCTCCTCGGTTTCAAGAGCAACGAAACCATAACCAAGAGAACGAGTACCGCGAGTAATGATATTGGCTTTAATACTAAATAAATTAATAATAGATTATTAAATAATTAAATAATGATCAATGAATTTATCGACAAATTTTAATTTAAACTTTATCAATTAGAAACTCAGACAATGAACATAATATATATGCTATAAGAATTTCAACTTACACTTTACCGGTTTTATTAAAAAAGTCGGCTAACTGGGATTCAGTGGTTTGGAAAGCCAAATTTCCAACAAAAACTTTATAACCAGGTTCTTCTTCTTGATTTTTTTCCTCCTTAGGAGTGACAGCAACTTCCGAGTTATTCTCAACAGTTTCAGAAGCAGTTACAGCCACAGATTCATCGCGGGTAGCGGATTCGTCGGCCATTATATATATATATATATATGTATATATAATATATAAAAATTTTAAATTCTAACAGTATTTATGTATATATATATATAATAATTCTTTAGCACGACAGTAATAGTTGGGAGGACTTTAATTTAATTTTTAAGAAAGGGTTCGGGGTCAGATGTGATTGATGTAACGTTCGTTTAGGTCGTTAAGGAAAAAATGGTCACTTCACACCTCCAACAAGCTGGACACTGGTGAAGGGCAAACTTTGAATTCTAATATAAATGCCTGTTAGGACTAGACGGACTGTAGGCAATAGGTCCACTAAAGGGCTAGGACGGAAGGTGGGTTTTAACTTCGACGGATAGAACAGATGCTTCGCTTTGCTTTCAAGTATGGCTTGAAAAGACAGGGTAGTGAGACAAAGAACAGAACCATCACCAAGATATACCATATGCCAATACTTGTGAAACAATTGTGAAACCGACTATTGTGATGGCGTTTCCAAATGTGCATTTTTCAAAATCAAGAAATTCAGTCAACTAATTTAACCAATTGTTGTTGTTACGGAGATGCATACGAATATCTGCGAATATAGCCTAAAAGGTTTTGTGTGAATGAAAATATTCGGGACACAATTAGATTTTCCGTAGTTAAAAAAAAGAATGTTCCGCCAGATTCACAGTGTGATGTTTCCTAATGTAGATTACGTTTCTCTTGAAAAATGAAATTTCCTTTGACGGTTATCACGTGATAGAACTCGGCATTCACCGTACTCTTTACAATTCAGAATAAGCAAACAGAACATAAATAAAAAGTCGCAGTAATCACATACAATCAACTATGACATAAAATTAAATATTGTTTATATTCAATGTATTTTGTACTGCAATACTGTGAACATATAACTTTTTTAAAACCATAAATAGAATTAAAGAAAATAGGAATTTATTTTATTCCACCATAATGCATTCATCACTTTTAAGCCAGCTTCGTATCCCAGAAAAGTCACAGCATTTACAGGAAAAGCTCTTAATAATGCAGGACCAAGATCCTTAAATAAAGCGGATGGTCCATCTGTCTTAAGCAAGTGACGTAACACATCCATAAAAACTTTATATTGACCAGAAGGAGGAAATTGAAGACGCGATTTAATAACATTTGGTGGAATAGCAATTGTCCACATTGCAACACCAGCCATTACTTGTAATAGATTAGAAGAATTAAAAATAATCATAATGAATTTAAAAATAATATTACTGTATTAATAAACTTACCACCAGCAAATAAGACCGCAGCGGGATTCAATGTCGAGTTGTTAAGTCTTTTGTAAGTTCATAAGCTCCGAAATAGGCAGTTGATCCTGGACCATCTCGGAGCAACGCAGCACCAGTTCTGCGAAAAATACTACTTTAAACCACCTTCCTTATAAAAATGACGCATTACATCGAATGGTTCTTATATTTAACTGACCTTGAATTTGTAATAACACTTTTAACTGGTGCCATTACTAATGCTGCGGATAAACCACCGGCAATTATATATTCCGGTATACTTGTGATTTGCAATTTAGTGTAAATGCGTACTTTGTTTACTAAGGTTATAAGACTATTAAAATAAAATAATCGGTACGATATAGACTGGATCAACATCAAATATTAATAATGATAAAAAATGATTGACAAACGTAACTCACTACGTAGTCCATCCTTTGTGATCGTTTTTTTTACATCAACTGTACCATTGTGTAAGTCCCTTGAGGTGCAGTTTGTAATCATACCTAATTTTACTATACCCTTTATATAAATTTTCACTTTAGGTTTGTAAAATAGTCCCATAACATGATATATACTATGATACCTACCTTGACCAAGTCAAATGGATGCCCTTATTGAAATAAAAAAAAGAAATAAAATTAAATAGTCGGGAGTAATTAAAGCATTTTGCATCTGTATACCGATATTTTGATATATATTAACGAGCACACTTATTATTCCTCCAAACCCTCTTGCGAATAACGATTTTACACCATTAGTAGCGGTAGTCTCCTTTTTTTCGGCCACTTTAGGCTCAATCTTTTTGTGTTCAAGGTGGTCAATTTCTACAACATAATTTGGGTTTCTGAATTTTTGAACCAATAAATATGCTCATTAAAATAAAGTTAACGTGTATAAAAACTGGAATTTTTATAGATAAGATTTATAAAATTTCCAGTTTTATTTCTTTGTATACTGATAAAATTTATACGTATGAACCTATCAAAAGTGTTCTTTCTATTTATATATAAATAAATACTGTATGTATACGTATACAAAATAATATTACTCGAATTGATTAATGTTTGTTAGAATGTAATACTGTACCAAAAATATCAAATTTTGTTTATTAAGTAACTGTATGTAAATTACGTACGTACGTATAACAAAAAAAGTTGCTTTTACGCATTACAAAAAAATTGCTACGTAGTTGATAATTTTACATTTAACCAAAATTTTGTAAACAATCAGAAACCCAGAAAATGTGTACCAGGTTGGGTACGGATCGGATGAAGGTCCGGAAAATGTCTTCGAATTTTATTTTATTTTATTTTTTTTACTAAGACTTATTATAACGATAATATAAAGCAATAATTAATGCAATTTACAACACATATCTAATTCATAAATAATACAAGTAAATTTGAATTTCGACATTATAATAGTTATTTCTTTTTAACCATTTGGTTTGTTTCTGTGACGTCCTTCAATAAATTATTACTCTTTTTGCAGCTTATCATTCTTTACACCCTTCATTTCAGACTAATCGATGAATATTTGTTGACTGTGAAGAAATTTGGTACACGTAAAATAGATAAGACTCCAACTTTTCTATTGATAAAGATTCGGATTTTTCGTAACCTTTTTGAAATATTTAATGCTACAAGAAGTTGGCTATTATTCTTAACGTTACTAATGGTAAGCTGAAAAACTTTCAATAGATATTATATGCTTATTAGATCTTCGTTGCTACATAGTTATTAAATAAATTTTGACTTATTATAATTAAAAAATATAAAATACCAACCTAGTTAAATACCTTTTTTAGATGGACGAACATTGCTTATTTTCACATTTGGCTATTATAGTTCCAATTTTTGACTCATAAGCGACGAAAGTATATATTTGCCGAAGTGATATAGATAGATTTGATATATTCTATGAATTTGTTTAAATTGATGGTTTCTTGCTTGTAATTAACGAAATAAAAGCTTACAATATTAAATTAATGCTTATAACAAATTTTGCATCGCTTTTTTTCTGCAAGAAAAAAAAAAAAACTAAAAATATTATTAACCTATTATAATTTAAATAATGATAAATAAAAATTTTATTTTGCTAAAAAAACGACGTATATACATATTGTTACACTCGAACCACCTCTAAATTAGTGATTTAAGCCGTAAGGTTTTAGTCGGCTGGCTAAGCCAGCCAATCACATTATATTGGCTGGCTTAGCCACGACTGCCATAGCTGGCTTAAATCACTACTTTTGAAATTTGTGTGGGGGAGAAATTGGGGCACCCTCTCGATCAACGGCAATATCAGAATCAATTTGATTAAAAAATAATAATAAGATCTTTGTTTTTACTATAAGACTGCTAAACAGTTTTGATCCTACTAATTTAGTAACAGTATTCTAGATAGTGATACAAATCAAAAATCAATTAAAATTGATTAGGGAACTGTCACTTATTACGTAATTATAGCCCCCCTCCAGAGTCATTCATTTGATAATTACAAGTTCTAAAGTAATCAATCGTTTGACAATTGCAAGCTCTAAAATAACCAATCGTATAGAGTTTATAAGTTTATATTATGATTAGGCTATAGCTCATGGGAAGACATTTATATGATTGGTTAATTTTTGTAGATCCACCCGTGATTTCCCGTGATAATTAACCAATCAAATTGCAAAATATTTATCATTTTAACATGACTAAAAACGAGAAGAACTTCATATAAAGAAGCTTACAAATAGTGTTCCAAATCATCAAAAATTTTCTAATCGATTAGTTGACTAATTCAAAAATTTTCAATCGATTAGTTGTCAACTAATCGATTTATTGATTTTAATCGATTATTTTATTATAAGTTGACAAAATTTTTCAATTGATTAGTTGTTTTTTTTAAAATTTTCTAATCGATTTATTGATTAGTTGACAACTAATCAATTTTTCGATTTTTGATTTGTATTACTAGTTTGGGGTAATAAGATAGATGGTTGGTTTTGTGATATAAGAAATTTATTAAAGATTCATAAAGAGTAGAAAGAATTGTAATTAGAATCTTTCAAATATCTTCTACAATTGCATTCACTGTATATCCAGCTCTCACAGTTTCGCAAGAATTAGAAGCACTCAGGTTAAACATTAGAGTACTATCATTATCTAATTCTTTTAGGTAAATAGGCTTAACCACCTGCCTACTTATATTATTCTTTTCTCTAACTACTAAGAATATATTTTTTAGAAAAGTGATAGCTGCATTTATGTTGTTTGTAAAAGATTAAATTAGAAAAAAAAAGAATCTTCTTTGATAAACAAAGAATCTTCAATTACAGGGACTTCGAATTGGATTTTAAATTTGAAGAAGAGGATTTTTTCTGCTTTGGGAAAGATGAGTAATATTTAGATATTTGTGAAAAGGTAAGTTTGGCATTGTCATCTTGAATATAGAAAAGATTGAAGTATGTGATTACTTGGACCAAGTAATCAGTAGATACAATATTTTGGGTGATAAGGTCGATTGCTTGTTTTTTAGAAAGATTAGAAATATTGTAATTATCAGCTGCTATATCTTGGTAGATTTGCAGGTATTGGTAGAAGTAGAAATTGTAGCAGCCTTTGCTAAAGGTAGTAGAGTATTTTTTGCAAATTTGCTATTCTACTTTATTTGCAAATTTGTCTAGAGTTTTTGTTGAAATTGGTTTTTAAAAAGTGGCTAGGTATTTGTTATCAATATGAAAAATAGAGAGATTGATTAAGATAATAGGTGAGTTTTCATTTGCTTGAATAGGATAATATTTGTCAAATTCTTGTTGAATAGCTTGGTAAAGGTTAGGTATATTGTGTTTGCTATCTTGAATATAAGAGTAGTCTTTGTGAGTATATATAAATATATAGTAATTGAGGAATCGAGTATATTCAAGTTGGTATTCAAAGAAGTTTGAGGGTTTGTTTAGAATGTATTCAGGGAGGAAAGCTGTTTAAGTTAGAAGATAAATACTCTTTTGATAAGGTAGCATAGTTTGTTATATGTTTCTTGTTTGTTAATTGAAGTAAATTGGTATTGGTAGATTGGGAAGAAATTTTTAAACCATTCATCAAAGTTTTTTTTTAGAATTTTTAAAAGAAGGAATACTAAATTTGTGAAGAAAGAGTGATTGAGATAAGTTAAATTGAAGATAAATATTTTTTTTTTTTTTTTTTTTTTTAAGCAATCCTGTTTTTATTAATCAAAGAATACATATAATACTATACAAAGGTTTTAAACTATTGCTCTCAACCCTCCT